CCGGGGCCGGGGCCCCCGGGGGCGGGGCCAAGGCCGGCGCCAGAGCCGGCAAGGGCACGCGCGGTGCTCCCGGGGGCGGGGCCAAGGCCGGCGCCGGAGCTGGCAAGGGTACGTGCGGCGCCCCCGGGGCCGGGACCGGCCATGCGCCTGGGGCTGGCATCTGCCAGCCCAGATTGCTCCGCGGGCGCATGTAAAGAGCCCGGCGGGCGCCATGGCGCCCGCGGGCACCGGGTTGGGGACCACGGATCTAGGGTATCATTGCCTCTCATAAAGATGAATCAGATAATACCATGGTGCTCTGCAGATGTCAGCCTCCACACTTCTCACAGAAGGGGTGTTGAGGGATGGTACTTGGTTCCACAAAAAAGTTATGATCTCCTTTTTACCCACCTGCAGTCAGGCATGATAATGGTAGATGCAGCAAACCACAAACCACGTTACAGTCCTTGGATGTTTGACACACACTCACATTTTATATAGAATGCACACAGCTGGTTAGAAAATCACTGCAGCTCTTTATTGCCCTGGCAGGGAGGATGGGAGGACTTCCTATCTCCACCCAGGGCATCTCACATTGGATCACATCCTGGACATATTATTATCTAGGTGAGGTTCCTCCACTGATGGCACATTCTGTGGGTCTGTCTAAACTACATGCCTCTGCCGACAGAGGCATGTAAACTGGCACAGTCAATGAAGCAAGGATTTAAATATCCCCCGCTTCATTAAAATAAAAATGAAGTTTTTTGCTGCGTTGTGCTGGCTCAGCTGATTGTCGGCGCGAACGAGCAGTCAAGACGCAGACGCAGGGAAAGCCGTTGTTGACTGATCCTGTAAACCTCGTTTCACGAGGCATAAGGGATCGGTCGACAATGGCTTTCTCTGTCGACCTATCCGCGTCTGTCAGCGCGAACCGGCAGTCAAATCAGCTGAGCTGGCACAATGTGGTGGCCATTTTTATTTTAATGAAGCGGGGGATATTTAAATCCCTGCTTCATTGACTATGCCGGTATGTCTAATTCACATGCCTCTGTTGGCAGAGGCATGTAGTCTAGACATACCTTGTGAGATCCCAGACATTTCTCAGTCACGTTTCTTGAGAGCATCCCTATTCAGGACATATGCCAAGCAATAACGTGAAAGTCCATGCA